GGGAAAAAGCTCTTTTAGCATGCTGAAGCGCACAGGGGAGATGGCTGCCTGTAACACAAACAGGGGGTAATGCAGTCTGATGTGTGCACCCCACTCGACACGGGAAACCACCACCGCTGAAGCACCGTACCACCAACACCAAGAGCTCCAAAGAGCACTCTGAACTTCAGTCTTCTTTTCTCAGTAGAATAGTCAAGAACAAAACGATGTGATCGCTCGTCTCCAAAACAAAAAGCTGGTATGCGTTGCACCTGCTAACTTTTTATTCTCACGCTGTGATCAGTGGCAGCTGGATACAATCATCGCATGCCAATGTCCATTGGCTCGTTTAGTTTACACTCTAAGTAGATTGGTCTCTCGAAGTGAGTTCCCAATTTGTCGGTCACGACGTGATTCGTTGTGACTGACTGAAAGGGAACATTACTGGTGTGCATCTTGAGACAAAACAATGGCACTGACATATTGTAAATAATATTGCATCCTGTTCGCCAGAGTTCAGATCACCTGCACCTGTTTCTCATCACCACTCCAATCAGAACACATATCACCAGTCATGGTCTGGCCTCTATAATTGTAAAAAGTAAAAATTAAAATCATTGCAAAATATTACAAGACTGTTGTGGGAGAAATATTGTAGGCACCGTGGGTTTTTCTTCTGTTCCAATAGTATCGTCATAACATTGAATTATCAGAGAGGAGTGAAGAACACAAAAAGCATACTCAGATATATATATATATTTTTTGTAAACAGTAAAATCAAATCACATAAAATCCACATACAACAATACGTAACTCTTATTAATATAATGCATCATACATTTTGTGATGATTAAGAAATAACTCACAGTAGTATCTAACTACCTCATAAAAAAACATCAATGCATTCATGGCTTTCTGGGGAGAATGTACATATAAATAACAATACATATAAAGTAAAAAAGACACAAACACGACTCTCATTAATATAATGCAACACAAATTTTGTTAAATATTAACTCGCAGTACCACAGTTTCTACAGCAAAACCTCTCATAAAACCATCAATGCATTCATGTCTTTGGAGAGGAAACAAATGATATAATTTATCATAAATTTTGTAAGAATACATGTAATATCATTGATATTACAGGTGTTTTTACTCTAGTACCAAAGGAGCTACTAAATGCCTGGACAATGTTACATGCATATTACATTTTTTAAAGGGCATTAAAGTGTGAGAGACATGATTACTATGCAAATACCATGATTCAAATTAGTTAAATAACCCTTCACACTTCTGTAGTAAATTTTGTCTGTGTGTGAAGACGCAGTGGTGTAGCGCAAATCCATGTTCTTAAGTGAAGTAAACTTCAGCCGATTTCCCGTCTGCAGGGAGTAGATAGCAGTGAACACTATAGGCACCATGTAAATTGGAATACAGTTCATTAATGGAGCTCTCTTCTAACAAGCTGGTGATTTGAGTCGGGTGTGTTAAACAAGAGAGACATGCAAAATATGCAGAGTGGGGGGTCGAGAGGACCAGGATTAAGAACCGCTGCTCTAGACCAGGGGTTCTCAATTCTGAACCCCCTCTGTACAGATCGCGATGGCGTTCCCCTCGCCCCCTCCATCGTCGAGCCCTTAGAATCGTCCTAACCTTCCCCCTCTTATGCCGCCCCTGTTCAGGGTGATAGTTCTACCTCTGAATTCAGTGTGAGCAGCGAGCAGATCACGGCCCAGTAGTCATGTCAAGGCCAAGAAGGCCATTCATAAAAGGTTTATGGATCAAGTCATGGCCATGGAGGCCGTCCATGAACCTATTTGGCCCCAAGTTATAGCCACAGAGGCCATATATGAACCTTTTTTCCCAAAGTTAATGTGATGAAAATGACTATAAATGGTAAAGGTGAAATATAATTGAGACAAATTTGAATACCGTATATGTTGAATGTCATATTGATTTCACCTGTGTGTGTGCATGTGAAGCCTTTCATTGACACTGATGTATTACAGAATCCTAGACAAAAATGAAAAATATGTGAAGTCAGTGAAGTCAGTGCTTATACGCTGAAATTAAAGGGAAAAAAGCATTGCTCCATTTCTCTTGTTCAACAAGATGCTGTCTATTCTATGTCTATATTATGCATTTTTATTTGACCCTCTAACACTAGCACTCTCTATTCTGATTCTATTTGTAAAAAAAAAAAAAAAGGCATTGCTCTGTTCTTTTTCTATTCTATCCGTTTTCTTTTTATTTATTATATAATAATAATAATTATAAATACATGGTACTGCCTTAAGCTAACTGGGACTTGTTATAGCACTTGCATATCATTGCTCTTTTGTTGATTTTGATTGATTCCATTGTCCTCATTTGTAAGTCGATTTGGATAAAAGCGTCTGCTTAATGACTAAATGTAAATGTAATGTATATGCATTCTGGCATTCCTGGCCTGATGCGGGTAACATTAGTGTAGCAGCGAGACATCACATCAATGATCCTGTCACGTCAACAATACTATCAATATAAGATATATACATACTATATATATATTTACATCTTTCCAAGACATGTTTGTTCATAAAAAAGACAGATGACAATATGTTGGTTTAAAAGATACAGGCCCAGTTTCACAGACAGAGCTTAGCTTAAGCCAGGACTAGGCGTTTGTTAAATTTTTATATTTAAGCAGCTTTTATAAAAATGCCTTAGAAATAAACATTACTGGTGTGCATCTTGAGAATAAACAATAGCACTGAAATATTTTAAGATATATCAGTGCAAGTTATTTTCAGTTGAGACTAAACATGCTAAAACATGCATTTTAGTCTGGGACTAGCCTTAACTCTTTGTGAAACTGGGGAACAATGGTGAGGGGGTCAGTCACCTGACAGTGGCTGTAAACAAATCTTGATTTGACACCCAACTGAAAATCTCAGGTTTGTAGTGCTCCCATGTGGGGATATAAATAATAATCCATGATCATTGTTAAGTATTAAAATGTATTTCACTATTTGAGTGCAAATGATATGCAAATACATTTTTCATTTTGACTCTGAATTACAAAAATATATTTCAACTATATATTTTTTGAAAAATATTTCAACCTACAACTATGCAAATACAGAGTAAGAATCTGATGTATTTTACATACAGTACCTTTTTGTCTGTATTATTATAAATGCACACTAAAATCAAAAGTTTGGGGTCTATAATATTTAAAAATAAAATCTGTTATGCACACCATGGCTTAATTTATTTGATTAAAATACAGTAAAAAAAAAAAAACAGTAGTATTGTAGTATTAAAAAAACTTTTCTATTTAAATATATTTTAAAATTCTATGGTAATGCTGAATTTTCAGCAGCCAATTCTTTAGTCTTCAGTCACATGATCCTTCAGAGATAATTCTAGTATGCTACATTTGATTTTCAAGAAGCACGGCTTATTATTTTCTTATACTTTTTTTTTTCTCTTTCAAAAAAGAAAGAAAAAAAAAACAATGACCCCACACTTTCAAATGGTAGTGTATATTTTTATCTTCTTACAAGAGAGTGAAAAAAGGAATCACTGTTTGTAAATTATCCTCAAAGAAGCTCTGTTTAAACCCAAAATATTTTAAAAAATCACTGACTGTACGATATTTCTAATTATTACAGTTTTCACTAAGGCTCGGTTGAGAATCTAGTCTCAATGTGTGCTTTCTGCTTAATGCTATGAGCAAATGTATGTAATGGATTCTGAGCATTCCTCTCTTAGAACAAGTAATGCTACTAGTCTGACATGCAGTGACTCATTCAACATAAAACAGGTTAACCCTGGCTACACTGCTACCTGTTTCCATACATGTTTGTCGCCCAGGCCATTTATATTTATTCCTAAATAGTTTCGGTTTCATGGCGCCAGCATGAGTGCAAGTCAAGTGACAATAAACCACCAATATGATGGCATACAGTATGCACACGGTGGCAAATATAGATTGAGGTATGCCTCCACAGAATGAATGTAAGAATGCAAAAAGGAAATATTCAAGAAGGCTCAGAATATATTTTTGATTCAAAGCTGAATTGTGTTGTGAATTGTGCAAAATCAGCGTCAATAGCATTAACAGAACTACATAAATTATGACTGTGTGCAAACTGGTTTCCAATTCCAACCATTCTCCAGTTTGTCACTAGACGACAGAATGGACAGTGTTGAAAGCACTTTCCAGGGAAACAGGTTACCAGTTGTCTCTGCACATTAACCCGGGATGGGGGAAAGCATTTTAACATCCACATGACTACATGCTTCAGCTTTAACTAAAGCAGTTTGTACATAGGAAAACTCTTGATGAGTGCATTAAGCATATTAGATGTGTTCATTAAGAATACATAAAGGCATTTGGTTCATTTGATACTAAAATAGCATCTCAGGTTTGCTCATCAAATCCCTGCACTTGGCTCATTTGCAGTTACATCAAATTTGTAAGCAGCAGTGTCTTTTAGTAGCGGTTTGCGTCATCGTAAGAGCTGAGATCTACATCAAAGAAGTTTTTCATTTTGACTCTGAATTACAAAAATATATTTCAACTATATATTTTTTGAAAAATATTTCAACCTACAACTATGCAAATACAGAGTAAGAATCTGATGTATTTTACATACAGTACCTTTTTGTCTGTATTATTATAAATGCACACTAAAATCAAAAGTTTGGGGTCTATAATATTTAAAAAATAAAATCTGTTATGCACACCATGGCTTAATTTATTTGATTAAAATACAGTAAAAAAAAAAAAACAGTAGTATTGTAGTATTAAAAAAACTTTTCTATTTAAATATATTTTAAAATTCTATGGTAATGCTGAATTTTCAGCAGCCAATTCTTTAGTCTTCAGTCACATGATCCTTCAGAGATAATTCTAGTATGCAACATTTGATTTTCAAGAAGCACGGCTTATTATTTTCTTATACTTTTTTTTTTCTCTTTCAAAAAAGAAAGAAAAAAAAAACAATGACCCCACACTTTCAAATGGTAGTGTATATTTTTATCTTCTTACAAGAGAGTGAAAAAAGGAATCACTGTTTGTAAATTATCCTCAAAGAAGCTCTGTTTAAACCCAAAATATTTTAAAAAATCACTGACTGTACGATATTTCTAATTATTACAGTTTTCACTAAGGCTCGGTTGAGAATCTAGTCTCAATGTGTGCTTTCTGCTTAATGCTATGAGCAAATGTATGTAATGGATTCTGAGCATTCCTCTCTTAGAACAAGTAATGCTACTAGTCTGACATGCAGTGACTCATTCAACATAAAACAGGTTAACCCTGGCTACACTGCTACCTGTTTCCATACATGTTTGTCGCCCAGGCCATTTATATTTATTCCTAAATAGTTTCGGTTTCATGGCGCCAGCATGAGTGCAAGTCAAGTGACAATAAACCACCAATATGATGGCATACAGTATGCACACGGTGGCAAATATAGATTGAGGTATGCCTCCACAGAATGAATGTAAGAATGCAAAAAGGAAATATTCAAGAAGGCTCAGAATATATTTTTGATTCAAAGCTGAATTGTGTTGTGAATTGTGCAAAATCAGCGTCAATAGCATTAACAGAACTACATAAATTATGACTGTGTGCAAACTGGTTTCCAATTCCAACCATTCTCCAGTTTGTCACTAGACGACAGAATGGACAGTGTTGAAAGCACTTTCCAGGGAAACAGGTTACCAGTTGTCTCTGCACATTAACCCGGGATGGGGGAAAGCATTTTAACATCCACATGACTACATGCTTCAGCTTTAACTAAAGCAGTTTGTACATAGGAAAACTCTTGATGAGTGCATTAAGCATATTAGATGTGTTCATTAAGAATACATAAAGGCATTTGGTTCATTTGATACTAAAATAGCATCTCAGGTTTGCTCATCAAATCCCTGCACTTGGCTCATTTGCAGTTACATCAAATTTGTAAGCAGCAGTGTCTTTTAGTAGCGGTTTGCGTCATCGTAAGAGCTGAGATCTACATCAAAGAAGTCCTCAAGTTTCCACTGCAGAGCTTCAAAGGTGGGTCTGTCTGCAGGGGAGTCCTTCCAGCATTCGGACATGATGTCATACAAATATTTTGGGCAGTTAAGAGGGTACGGCATCCTGTAGCCTTTGGACAACTGTTGTACCACCTGAAAGTTTGTCATGGCTGGAGAAAGAGTGAAAAGCAACATTAAAATCCTTCAATGCTTTGACCTGGTCAAACTTTACTGTATAGCATATAACAATGGTTCTCAACTTGTGGGTCGAGATCCAAAAATGGGTTGCAAGTTTGTTCTTACCCTTGTACAAAATCACACAAAAAACAGAAAACGAGAAAACAGAATATGAAATGCAGTTCAGTGAGGAAGGGCTGCAGATCATACTGATATTAATACATTTTATAATTTGGTTTTAAGGACCTTTATTTTTGTACAATAAACTTTGTTTCTTTAGGAACCAGACTGTACATTGAACATAAACTGGCCCAGTATGGGGATATATATTTCCTACAGAAACACTGAAGGGATTTTTTCTTTTTAAAAATAGTCAGTAGCCTTTAGTTTACATCACACCATAACTTTCTACTTGATACTGCAATTGGATTATGACCCTGAAGCCTAGACAAATTATTAGTATTTTGGTCTATTTTTCTGTATGAGAACGATGGGTACAATAAGTGAAATTATAAATGAGAATGACGTACTTGGGTAAGGAATCTGTCCAAATGTCACAATTTCATATAGTAGGATCCCAAAAGACCAAACGTCAGATTTGATGGTGAATTTGTTCTCGTGGATGGCCTCGGGAGCAGTCCATTTCACTGGAAACTTGCTTCCTTCTTTGGCCTCATAAACATTCTCATTTTCCCTCTAAAGAAATCATGCAGTGAGAAAGCCAAAAGTACAGTTTTTGTATTTTTTACCCAAAATCTGTGCATACAATATAGCAGTGGTTCTCAACAGATTGGCTTCAGAACATCAAGTGGTCAATCAAGATGAAATAATACAATGTACAGTATTAATAATATAACAATGAACTGAATAGACCCAACAGTATCCAAATGTATTGATATGACAAAGACTGAATAGGGAAATGGTAAATTTCGTAAATGAATAAATATAAATAAAGATTAACTATGGGCCAAATATTGAAAAGACTGACTGAATACACACAACCTTTGATGTTGCCAAGATTATTTACTTTACTATGTGTTTAGTTTACCATTTGCATTTACTGTCCGTGACACTATTGTAACAGATCTTTGGCTCATTTTTGGGTAGCGACCCATTTGAGAACCACTGCCCCATAGGTAAGCTGAGGGGTCAGGCCTTTTTTTAAAAACGGAGAATATTTCTTACCTGAAATACACGTGCCAAGCCAAAGTCGGCCACCTTACACACATTGTTATCTCCCACCAGAACATTTCGTGCCGCAAGATCTCTGTGAATGTAGTTCTGTAGCTCAAGGAATGCCATGCCAGATGCCACTTGGGATCCCATTTCTATCTGATCAGACAATTGAAGAGAAGCACCTCTGTCTTCTGTATGAGAGAGAATATAGGGAATAAATACCGGTATAATTAACATGTCAGATGTTGTTTTGTTACAGTTTCAGAATAAACTAACCTCAAAAACCTACGGTTTATGTGGTAAATAACCTACTAAATATTTACACAATGGGGGAATGAGATCTTGCACAACACTGGCCCTGATTATCTGTCCAAATAAGTTGCTGACACCAGGAGGAAAGGGTTCTGGAAAATGAGGCAGCTGAAGAAGTCTTTCCAGGTCCTGATTGGCCTGCTCTTTCTGCCCATTAGTCTATGAGCCCCAGGCACAGATCCCCAGTGAAGACCTTGTCTCCTAGACGGCCACCGGGACAAGACCACAGGAACCAGATGAGTCCTCTGCACAATCTGACTTTGCTGCAGCCTGGAATTAAACTGCTGGTTCGTCTGGCCAGAGGAGAACTGGCCCCCCGTCTGAGCCTGGTTTCTCCCAAGGTTTTTTCTCCATTCTGTCACCGATGGAGTTTTGGTTCCTTGCCGCTGTCGCCTCTGGCTTGCTTAGGTGGGGACACTTACTATCCAGCGATATCGTCGACTTGATTGCACAGATACTATTTAAACTGAACTGAGCTGGATGATGCCATCACTGAATTCAATGATGAACTTCCTTTAACTGAAAATTGAGTGTTTACTATTGTCATTTAGCATTATTGACACACTATTTTCCTATTTAATACTGTAAAGCTGCTTTGACACAATATGTATTGTTAAAAGCGCTATATAAATAAAGGTGACTTGACTTGACTTGAATGAAAGCCTAATAGGGCTGGGTGAATGCCCCCAACTGCCGACAGAGCTCCCTCCAGAATTGGACATTTTAAACCCCCGTAGGTAATTTTAAACCCAAAATATGCTGATTAAAGAAATTTTTATTTATTAATCATGAATCTCACTATAATCTTAATGATGGTATTCCAGACTTTTCCCTTGCCTCAGTGTTCAAACAGTTTTTACATGAAGAATGTGTAAATCTTTCTTATTTTAAGATCATACATTTTTTTTATTTGCTGCAGCCCTTCAGAAGCTAATGCATTTTTATGAGCCCTCTTATTTTGTTCTGCAAGGTGCACTGTACTGTATATTAACCTTTACTGTAATGACCACAACCGCATGATACCTGCTAATACGTGCATTTATGATGTGGCAATAAGGAAGCATAGCCTGTGTAAACAAGGCTCCCCCTCCCCCCTCCCTCTCTCCATCTCTTTTTGTTCCTGTCTCGAAATGACCCCTTATACAGTGAAAGCAGTGCTTTACAGTAATTTTATCACAGGTAGTTAAGCTATTCAGAGGCTGATTTCCCAGAAAGGCTTGTGGTCCTATTAAAACATAGTTTGTTAGAGTGCCCCGGCCAGTCACACATAGAAATCATTGTGTTGTTTAAGTTTTGGAAGTTATTGTTTGACTACTGGCAGTATTCAAAAAACACCTGTTCTAACAAACAGTGTGGCTTGTTATTTTTATAATGGTAATAATAAATCATTATTAAATGTAATATCCATAATAATGAATAATTCTCCCATGTAATCAATATCACAGAGGCTGCCATTAACTAATTATGAAAACTTTTCATTTCAACCTTTCCTTTTCCTCCAGTTATTTCACTTTTTGGTGTTGCTTGTTTTGGATGTGTACTGTACAAGAATACAGTATACAGTTGCCCCACATAACATTAAAGGTATTTTAATGTAAATTCTGTTAATCAAAATGAACAATCGTGATTACAATATCAAAGGAAGTACCTGACATAATAGTGTTTGAGACTTGTGCGGGTGTGTCTTACTTTGCAGATATTCTAGAAGGCTCCCGTGGCTCATGAGCTCTGTGACGATGTAGATGGGCTCTTCCGTAGTGCAGACAGCATAGAGCTGGATCAGTTTGGCATGACGGAGTTTCTTCATGATCTGAGCTTCTCGCAGGAAGTCTTTTGGATCCATAGTTCCTATAACACATACAACAGGCGTACAGTATAGCATGCCATGTGCATGTATGTTTGGAGTTCTATATGTGTATCCATCTTGTCTTTGTTTGTGTGTGTACCTGGTTTGAGTGTTTTGACAGCGACAGCTGTGCTGTCATTCCATATGCCTTCATAGACCTGGCCAAACTGCCCTGCTCCCAACTTCTTCAAGAGTTTTAGAGAGGAACGTGAGATCTCCCACTGATCCACAGTGTTGTAAGATAGACCATGTGTCTCTGGAGCCATTGTCTAAACCCCACACACACAAAAGCAAGGAAATAGGCATTGGATTGAATATTTGATAATATCCTGTACAATTCTGTGGAATGCTATTTTAATCGGTCAGTTGTTGTGTTCTGCGGTCAAAGATTTTTGTATAATTTCACCATTGTCTCACATTCTTTGAACATCTTGTTTTATTCATTTAGGTATCAAGTGAGACAAAGAACAGTCAGCCAGTTATTGTTGTGTAATAAACCCTTCAATGTTTTTTTTTTGATTGATGTAATAGTAAATGCTACACACTTTTTTGCAGGGTCCTGCCAAACGAACACAGAGGCCATCCTCATTTCTGTAGTGCTCCACTAGTTCTTTCAATGTGAAAAAACTACGAATCCTTGACACGAAGTAGCCACCATTATCTTGCCTTCTGATCTTATAATGCTTCACTTTTCCGTTGTCCAGCACTGCAATACAGACAGACAGCACATCAAGGACCTCAGTCATAATGAAAGATGGGCTAATAAGTAAGAAAATAGCCCTTTTCCACCATAGAGCAGTAACAGTACTACTAGCACTTCCATTAGAATGTGGTTTGGTTTGGTATGGTACGATTGCAAACCATGCACAGATATCTCATCAAGTTTAACAAGCTGTACTCTGGACAGGAGAAAAAAATTGGCTTCTTGTGGTGCAGAAATGCTGTGGGGGGTGTGCGATATGTATCATCTTACATTTTATACACAATATTGGCTGTTTTAGTTCTATTTCGCCAACAAAAATTCCAATCAAAGCCACAACAAATCTGTTGAGCATCTCTGAGAAACACACAGTGATGCTTTTTTCTGAATGAATCAGAGTTTTAGAACAAATCAATGATTCAATGATCCATTCATAAAAATCAGTCAATTGCTTCATTCCTGAATTAATAATCCCTTTGAATGAATCGGCTGAAAGAACGGTCGAGTGAGTGACTCACTCACTCATTCAAGAGTTGCTAGTTTTAGCTTCATATTTAAAGTCATTTTTATCATTTTATGTTAGAAAAAATGACCTATATAAAGGTAAAAATGCCCCTGGAAATCAGTTTAAGGTTGCAAATACTGACCTTAATGAAAACTTTAAACAAACCATTGCACAGATTCATTCTGTTTTTGCTTCAAATGTGAAATTATACAATGTAATTTAGCTTAAAACTGCTCATGTTGCATGTATGCAGCATCTTTGTTTGGATCATGATTAAAATGCAGTGGTTGCCTCTAATTTTAAATGGAAAGAGCACAGACAAAGCCTTAGTTTGTTTATATGAAGAGATTTATTTTATTTGTGTTATTTATTTGATTTTGGACTTTTTTTAAAATTTCAATTTAGTTTTGTTATTTACATTTACATTATATTTAAATGTTGTCATTTAGCAGACGCTTTTATGCAAAGCGACTTACAACAAAAAAACAACAAAAGAGCAATAATATGCAAGTGCTATATTAGTATATTATTAAAGTGTTGTATTTCAATTTCACAAAGAAACGTGCAGCATTTTGTCCAAGCAATAATAAAAGGACACATTTAATTTATAATTTGTCTTAAATCTCATTTTGTAAAAAAAAAAAAAAAGTGAGTTGAGTGAATCGTTACATCCCTATTTGACGTCAGATGTACCTGAGAGTGAGAGCTCTCCTGCCTGGCTTTCACAGTTCCTGATTAGAAAAGCTCCATTCTTGTTCTCTTGAGACATCAACATCTTCTCGGCCTCCAAGCGCTTTGTTTCTGGAAAATACCATCTGCAGTGGAAGAGTATCACAATGGTGTGTGAGCTAAAAATCAACCAGCAGTCACACACTGAATTTCAGCAAAGAAAAAACAATACAAAATGCAATTAATAAAATACAACAAACCAAAATCATGGATCATTTAAAAGTAATGAGAAAAGAATTATTCATTTTTAAACACTTTTTTTGACCTCGAGGACTGTGTGGCCAAGCATCACTTGCTAATATGGCTAATGCAATCAATACTAAAACTAATTTAATATTTAACCAAGTATTTGTTGTATATGTCACTGTTCTGCTGTTGTATAAAGCATTTACAGAGCTACTTTTCCTATTTATCGTATGTCATGTTAAGAATTTTGCATATTGTTGGGCCTATGCAGCAATGTTAATACATTTCAGTCTTTTTTTTTTTAAGTTCACTTCTGTAGAATTTAATAATGTGTTGTATACTCCTTCATTCCCAGTTTAATAGCATGGGTTTTGAACTTCTGAAGCAAAACCAGTTGAGAACCACCGGGGTAATTTACGGTCCAGGCCTGATAACAACTGAGTATGTTGAAATAAAGACTATGGAATTCTTATATAATAAACTAACCCTTGGCTGACTCAGTGTTTATGATTGTTTTAAGTTAACATACACAAAGCTTATGCAGACGCCTTGTGTCCAGTAAGTTATGTCTAAATCTTCCAACACAGAGATCATACATGTACAGCTGAAGATCTGCTGTCACACATTAGCAATACAATGAACTGTATAATCAAGTCTTGTCAGATGGCTACATTTGACTACAAATTGCTACAAAACATTCACACTCAAGCCATTATGTTGTTGGTGACAGACTTGGAAAAACTGGAAAGTTATCTCTAACAAAGTCCATTCGTCAGAAACTATTTAGCATGTCAAAATGAAATACAAAGCATAGAGATTTTATCACACATGACATATTTAATATAACATGTCATATTAAAATCAAAATAGATATATATTTTTTGAAAAATTATTAATTTTATATTTTTATACTATGCAATTTTTTTATCGATTTATGACACCTACAGTGCACAAAGCCTAGGAATCATTAACAGGCTCAACATTCTAGTACTTCCCGGTTGACCACTGAACATTAACCAGCTTCCCTTAAGAAACAAACAACAGACAATGCAGAAACAGAATTTGTTGCCAGCTGCTGCCAGGAATCCTCATAATATCCCTCTTGCTGAATGCAGAGGCTCACAATTAGGGTCTATGCACGCAATACAATACATAGCCTACATTACAATAATTATGGGACTTCCAAACCACACTAATGATCCCCTGTTCCCAATTAATCCCATCTTTAAAAAAAAAAAAACATTAATTGCATAGCCTACCATCACTTGCCAGTACATACATATGAAATTACATTTAATATACATAGGCTATACATATGAAATGACTTTTTCAGGGCTTTCTTTGCTTACAGAAGACGTGCCACAAACTTACGGTTCAGCATCAAGGCTTTCTACGGGTGCAACATAATTAGCAGGAATGTAGCCCTCTTTGTTTGCTGAAATCCCGGTCATTCCTCTCGCGTACCACCAGTCTTCCTCTTTCCTGAGTGGCTCCAGTTTATCCCCTGCGTTAAAACTCAAATCATGCTCCGTGCGTGCCGTGTAGTCGTACAGCGCAATGTAAACGTAGCCGGGTTCCTCCACAGGTGTCGGAGGTAACACCCTGTTTGGCGGCTTTGTAAATTCATTAGTTTGCACTTGATGTCGTTTCTCGGTGCTAGATGAGGTGCTGTTCGCCGGGTCTTTGAAACACGGGAAAGTACTTTGACAGCACAGTATAAACCTCCCTCTGAAGTCTTCCATCGTGAAGTTGTTCACTAGTCCCGTATGTGTATATCAAGTTAAACTGAAGCAGTATATCACATTTCAGTGTTCCATAGGGTTTGTTTCATTCCAGTAAATGTTGCGTGAACCCGAGACGAAGCGTGTCATCCATTCTGTGAGCTTGTGAAAACCCTTGGACCGGTGACACGAGATAGCACAATCCTGTCGACAATAAAGCAGGTGATTTATTGCTTGCAGTCAAAAATCTGTTCGCATTTCCTGGTCACATTCCCCTGACAAAGTTCAAGATAATTCTGCGCTCCTCGGACCGATAACACTTACCTTAAGTTTTAAGTAAGTCCATGAGAATGCTAAATGTTTTAGGCGAGCTCATAACAGAAATCGCCCTGCAAGAACAGATACTGGATTCTGAGACAGGTTGTTTCTTCAACACGCCCTCAGGCCAGGACTCTCTCTAATGCTGGCCACATATTACGCAATGATTAATTCAGTTTACATTCAAGCTAGTAAGCTAAACGAAAACACGGAAAAATAACTAATTTGAATCAAATGTCAAAAGCAGACTCTTTCAATACACCTGCACCAATTTGTACAACTTAATTGTAAAAAAACAAAACTGTAGGCTACTATAGGTACTATGCCTTTATTACTCAGAAAACCCCAATTAAGGTACACTGATTTGTTTCAGTACCATTACCACTGAGGTGGGGCAATCTTGATAGAATTTTCCTTCTTTCCCCCTACTTATGCAGTTTTTGTCCTCTTTAGTTTCATTCACTCTTTTTTTCAAAATCAACTTAAATGCTGTTAAATTGTTAAAAGAACAACGAAGTCAACTCCATAAATTGATGTAACTTCCCTAAAATTGTTTTGTTTAAAGTCAGCATTATGGTGTATATTGTTTCCCTTTAGGTAAGTGGAACATCATATATATATATACTGTATATATATTCATCTAACAGTTTTTCAGTGTAATGCTTGTTTGTTTTACAAGAAATCACTGTTATTATGTGTTGCATAAGTAATATGAATGGGCTGCTTTTTTCAAATTGATCTGACTTCATATTAGATCATTAATCCACACTTGATGCAGCAATATAAAAATGCAATAAATGTATTAAATGTTGTATTAAAGGGGTCATATGATGCTGCTAAAAAGAACATTATTTTGTGTATTTGGTGTAATGAAATGTGTTTATGCGGTTTAAGGTTAAAAAAACATTATTTTCCACATACTGTACATTATTGTTTCTCCTCTATGCCCCGCCTTTCTGAAACGCGCCGATTTTTACAAAGCTCATGGGTCTGAAAAGTGAGGTGTGATCTGATTTGCCAGCTATCCAGTGCGTTGTGATTGGCCGAATACCTCAAGAGTGTGATGGAAATGTTACGCCCCATATTGTGATGATGCCCTGTCAGGCCGGAGCGACGAGACAAAAATATTAAAACCATTATAAACGAGGCATTTGTTGCATCCATGCAACATAATTATGGATTATAATGACTTATACTGTCTTTTTACGTATTGCGTTGCATCGCGCCACGTAAACATAAAACCATGTCTGCATTTGTGATCGGAGAAATGACAAACAAGTGCTACTCTACACTGCTCAAAACTCGCGTTTGAATCGTCAGTGGCAAATTCTTTAAATATAAAAAACGTACTTACAGTCTGTGAGTCAGAACAGAACATTGTAGAACATTGTAGTCTACTCTTCCAGGAAACAATCCTCCATAAAATGTGCTGCATCGGCGGTGGCGGCGGCAACAATACTACAGCGAGAATAAAAGTTACGCCTTCTTTCTTTGCGTGAACATTTGGGCGGTATTATGCAAATCTTCCCACATCGTGACGTAGATATGTGGGGGCGTGTTAGAACGAGCCGTTTTAGGTAGGCGTGGTTGACTCTTAACTTTTATAAAGAATATCTCTTTGGATTTGAGACTTTAGTCTTTGCAACTTTACAGATCTTCTTTATGCACCAAGAGCTTGTAACACTCCAAAGAAAAAGGAAAACTTGAAATCGCATCATATGACCCCTTTAAAAATGTAACAGTATTATAAACATCATACTATTGATTTGGTTAATATGATCACTCTTAAGATGAGATAATATCTTGCAATCGATCTTGTGACTGAGAATACAGGAAGTAAAGAGAATAATTAAAGAATACTCAAAAGATTTTTGGTAACTGAGACTTCTGCTAAACTTAATTTATTATGTGACAGTACTTAAATCTCTAAGATTGCTGAACTAATTTTTAACTTGTCAAATTGAGTTACTAATATTCACATTTTCTGGTTTCTTATACAAAGTTATCTACACACATTAATTTAAGGTTTATAAACTTAGTTTATAAACTTTTTAAAATAAAGCAAATGTATTACAAAGATATTTAAGGAGTTTCAGACGGTTTTGAGGGATTTTTTTCTATGGATTTTCTGGACAACAATTATTGGATCTGTACCCAAACAGAAGAAAATCCTCCAGGAATTCATGTTAAAGGGATGGTTCACCCACAAATTAAAATTCTGTCATATTTTACTGTGGGACTGACTTTCTTCTGTGGAATATAAAAGAAGAATTTTAAGGAAATGCACAGATGTAAGTTAAATTCACATAGAGATGTGAAGTTAACCTGTTGCATGCTCTACTCGATTTAGGTCAGTTTTTAAAGGTGCATTAAATATAACAATGCACACAAAAATAACAAACACACACAGACTCACACACTTTGTTTTTGTAATCAATGACCGGAAAACTTTATTCTGAGAATAATGATTTATTTCGCAGCTTCACCCAGGCATGACAATGTTCGATAATGAAGTGCCCTGTTGAAAAAAACAGCATATGCTGGTTAGGTATGTTTCAACGCTGGGATGCTTTAAGATGGTCCTTTGCTGGTTTAAGCTGGTCCTTTGCAGGTTTATGCTGGTCCTTTTGCTGGTCCTTTGCTGGTTTATGGTGGTCCTTTTGCTGGTCCTTTGCTGGTTTATGGTGGTCCTTTTGCTGGTCCTTTGCTGGTTTATGGTGGTCCTTTTGCTGGTCCTTTGCTGGTTTATGCTGGTCCTTTGCTGGTTTATGCTGGTCCTTTTGCTGGTTTAAGATGGTCCTTTGCTGGTTTATGCTGGTCCTTTGCCAGCACATGACCAGTATAAACCAGCATCAAAACATACCTAACCAGCATATGCTGTTTTTTTCAACAGGGTGATGTGTGCCAGTCCGTTTTGATCGCGTTATTACGGTAACAGCACCCGGAAATGCGCGAATATTCACATATTCTTACGTTCGTACAAGCATGATCCAAAATCCGCGTTGCTCGTATGCAGTGTTACAGTACAACCGGCACCGTAGTATTTCCGCGTCGCATGCCGAGTTCTGTGGATGCCTGCGCTTTCGCTGTAACGTCTCCGTAGAAACACGGCTCGTAGTCTTTTGTGACATTTGTTGTCGCCGCTATCCCACGTGTTGCAGAAGAGACAAATACATCGCAGAATCCCGCCACCGAGCGAGCTGCATCGACAGCTTGAAGTCATCGCTGTCACTGCGAGATATTGCAATCCTGTAGTCTTTACAGTTCACATCTCCCATTCCTTCCAAAGGCTAAACGATGAGCGAATACTTCTCGCTGTCGGAGTGTGATGTGATAGGCTTTGACTTGGACCACACGCTCTGTCGATACAATTTGAAGGAGACCTCCAGGGTGAGTCGCACTATATCATGCAGATCATGACACAACCAACCGACCTCAAACGCATAATAGGCTAGGGCTTACACAATGGCGCAAATGAAATGCATGATTGGCTCTGTCTGCTTTACATTACTGGACCTGAAGCGAACCAGTGTTGATGCGCTGATCTATTCGGCAGGCCTTGTGAGAACACATTGAGAAGGCGAGAGGTGTGTCCTTTATCTGTCGTTCCAGGAGGATGTTCATGCAAACACCTTTTGCGTTGATTTTCGTAGTTTATGGGCAGCTAGATAAAGCGTAACTGTATTAGCTCGAGATGAAGCTTCATTTATGGTCAGGCCTGACATCTCCATGTTACTGTACCTTCACTTAGTAGCTTACATGTATTTCTTCTTCTGTCTGTGTGCAGCTGATCTATGAGAGTTTTGCACGGTATCTGGTGGAGCACAAGGGCTATGATAAAGATCTGCTTCATTTAACACCTGCTACTTGGGATTTCTGGTGAGAAGACAGTTTTATTAGTACAATAATTGGGAAGACCTGCATGGAACCAGATTCGTCATTACCAATGCCCATATACAGTATACTCAAAACAAACAGATGCAGATGTTCATGCTGAAAGACTCTGGAAGCAGTTCATCATCTTTAATAAATATTTAAAGCATTTTACAGTACTAAATAACTATTTACAGCATGACATCGTACATTTCTTATTTCATTTTTGCTGTTAAAATATGCAAATTAAAATTAATAGGACAAATACAATGGAACAATGATACAAATTAAATAAACACAGTTTAAAGTTACAATAGGTTTATTTAACATCTATTAAGAAATGCTACAGAAATGGAATTATCAAATGTCAAAATAAAACTCTGCATAGTTTTCACTGTATTATTTAAATATAAATTAAATCTTATTAGATCGATCCAAAGGTTATTCAGTCAAGGGCAGCGAATAATTTTCCCTTTATTTTGCTGTTTAATTAACATTAAAATATATTGGCAGCAGCATGTTTATTAGGCTCCACATGAAGGATATTGAGGGCATCATGCACATGCTGTATTGGAAAATTTACATATATATAACAAAATCTCTAACAATAGGCACTTTATATGCCACACTGCCAGCCCTACTTATTGTTAACAAACTGAATCTTGTTTCAAGCAGGTATTCTTGTCATTAATACAGTACAGCATGACATCGTACATTTCTTATTTCATTTTTGCTGTTAAAATATGCAAATTAAAATTAATAGGACAAATACAATGGAACAATGATACAAATTAAATAAACACAGTTTAAAGTTACAATAGGTTTATTTAACGTCTATTAAGAAATGCTACAGAAATGGAATTATCAAATGTCAAAATAAAACTCTGCGTAGTTTTCACTGTATTATTTAAATATAAATTAAATCTTATTAGATCGATCCAAAGGTTATTCAGTCAAGGGCAGCGAATAATTTTCCCTTTATTTTGCTGTTTAATTAACATTAAAATATATTGGCAGCAGCATGTTTATTAGGCTCCACATGAAGGATATTGAGGGCATCATGCACATGCTGTATTGGAAAATGTACATATATATAACAAAATCTCTAACAATAGGCACTTTATATGCCACACTGCCAGCCCTACTTATTGTTAACAAACTGAATCTTGTTTCAAGCAGGTATTCTTGTCATTAATACAGATGATGAAATTAAATTAATATATCTATAATAGTGTCAGTTTTCTTAACAAAGAAATAAGTTGCTGTCCTAGTATGAGCCTGTTTATCTCTCTAGTACACAAACACAGTTGCTTGTTGTCATGTGACCAGTTTTAAAGGTCTTGTGGTGGATCTCGAGGAGGGCAACCTGGTCAAGTTGGCAGAGGACGGTACTGTCTTGCGGTAAGTCAGTTTCAGTATGACGTGTGTGTGTGTGTGTGTGTGTGTGTGTGAGAGAGAGAATGATTACTGAGCAGTACATTTTATTGCTCCTTTTTGTGGAAAAAGATTAATTGTACATAAAGAAATATATAAACTTCTCTTAACCTGTTATATTAAGTTGTTAATCTGTTTAAAACATATTTATTTGTAGAGCAACTCATGGCTCTAAAGACCTTAGTACTGTGGATCTTGAGGAGGGCAACCTGGTCAAGTTGGCAGAGGACGGTACTGTCTTGCGGTAAGTCAGTTTCAGAATGACGTGTGTGTGTGTGTGTGTGTGTGTGTGTGTGTGTGTGTGAGAGAGAGAATGATTACTGAGCAGTACATTTTATTGCTCCTTTTTGTGGAAAAAGATTAATTGTACATAAAGAAATATATAAACTTCTCTTAACCTGTTATATTAAGTTGTTAATCTGTTTAAAACATATTTATTTGTAGAGCAACTCATGGCTCTAAAGACCTTAGTACTGACGACATCATAAAGCATTATGGTCCAAAAAGAGAATGGAAGCATTTTAATAGCCTCAATACCTCGTACACACGATCTGGTAAGGATGTGTTCTTGAAGATAGTTCATTTTATAATTTCCAATGTCAGTATAACATTCATTAGTTTATTAAATCTTCTGATTCATGTTTTTGTGATGTGGTATTTATTTAGAGTTTAATATTTGTATTATCCTCATATTATCTAATAACTCATATTATCCTTGCTTTAATATGTGATTTAGTGCACTCATTTGTTGCAGCAAAATACTATTTTTATGACAACTATTTTGACCTCCCTGGTGCTCTTCTCTGTGCCGGAGTGGTGGATATGTTGAATAAGGTAAAAATAAATCAGTGCTTTTCAAAAATTCGATATTTCTATTGTAGATCAGAAGTAGCATTTGTTAATTAGGCGTAGAGTGAATGTTTACCTAACACAGCGTATATTGTCATTTCTTAATGTTTTTATTTATCATTTTTTTAACCCTAGCGAGGAGCTGAAATCACATCTGACTTTTGGAAAGACATTGTTGCTGCCATTGACCATAACTACAACACATCTGCATTTCGGGGTATGTAGAAATTACTCGCTTATATCTCTCTTATACACTCGTTACAATCAGCATTTCAAAGTGTAATTTAATTTTGATATTATATAATGTCTGTAAAAATCCAATGTGTGTATATCAAACAGAACACAGTCTTTGACCTATCTGCATAACATTTTGAATGTTTTAATTAGTTAGCCTAAGATTTTTTTTTTTTTTTTTTTTTTTTAAAAAGTTTGAAGTCAGGATAAGATATGTTTCAGACCGTAAAGGTCTTTGTACTGAGGATTTCCTTTGGAAAGCATTAACCTTTTACCACAGTCATAAACAAACAGCAGCACTGGCGCTAAAACTTTATTTGTGTTGGTTTTTATAATGCACACCTTGTGAGATATTACAGAGTTAAATGAACAAACAAAACAGAACAAACAATTATTATTCACTTTGGAATCCATTTATATCAAAACCTGGCTCACTTAATGTCTCGTAAAGAGACCATTGTGTCATACTAAACTCAGGAACCTTTTGCTAAAATGTGAGCACAGGAAAAAGGTAAACACATAGCACCATTTTAATACATAACCATCAGTTCAGGCTTTAGGCAAATGCAGAAGGTCCATTGTCTAATTTCTTGGATAATTTTTATTGGTGTTCCATAATAATTGAGATTATCAAAATATTTCCATACAAATAGGTCTTTATGTAAATCCACAAACTACAGACATGTTTTCTAAATTAGTCATCCTTTTCCATTCTGCATGACTCTTGGGGCAATGAGAAAATTAGTATAAAGGCAGACAATTTTTGAAATAGAAAGATTGAGGTTTTCTTGAGTGTGTTTATCACGTTGAGGCAATCAAGAAGCCAGAGAAAGAACAGTGAACATTATCATCAGCATAAATGCCATTGGACTGGTCATCTGGAACCTGGATGTACACTGTGTCATGGGAATCCAGCATGAGGACAGTACTGCCAGACATCTGGTCAAGGAAACCTTTGTTGTACTCATCATAAGAGAACAGGACTGGATCTCTGTTTTTGTAAAGTGCTACCAATGCATTTGCTCCATTGACATGCATATGGAAAGAAAAGTAGTAAAGTCCTGGAACCTGACAGGTGAATATGCCAGTGCTGGGATCATAGTGGTTCTCTCCATTGTAAACAACCTGATTGAATGCAATTGGTGTTCCAGCATTAGGATAAGCTGTGGTAAGAAGAGCTGTGAATGCTGACATGGGTGCCTTCATCATCTCGTGACTAACAGGCATTACCATCTCATGGGATTTAATTGGCATGCTTTTCTCATGGTGATAAATAATCTCACCTGGGGGTCCAGGAGGCCCAGGAGGTCCTTGTGGACCTGGGAGACCATCATGACCTCTGCCACCAGGGATACCAGGAGGACCCTGGGGTCCAGAAATTCCCTTGGCTGTGAGCCCTGCTGGGCCAGGGGGGCCTGGAAGTCCTGGATGACCCTTAAACCCTGGTGTACCAGCAGGTCCTACTGGGCCTGTTGGTCCTCTTGCTCCAGGGATACCATTTTCACCCCTTCCACCTTGTGACCCTTGAAGTCCTGGATGTCCCTTTTCTCCTGGTGGCCCCTTGCTACCTGGGATACCTGGTGCACCGGTAAATCCTGATTCGCCCTTGGAACCCTGATGCCCCATATGACCCATTGGACCTGGTGGACCTGCTGCGCCTGGAACACCAGGTTTTCCTGAGAAGCCGTGTGCACCTTGCTCACCCTTTGCACCCCTTGGACCTGGTGCGCCAACCAGACCAATGTCACCTTTAGCTCCCTGTGGACCTGCTTCTCCCTGGAATCCCCTAGCACCCTGAGGACCAGGCGGACCTATTGGGCCAATAGCACCTGTCTGACCAGTGTGACCCATTGGCCCTGATTCTCCCTTTTGGCCTGTTGTACCTGGAGTTCCGGGCACTCCCCGGTCTCCTGGGAGTCCAGATGATCCAGGTTTGCCAGTACCTGGCAGACCTGGAGCGCCTGGCTGTCCTGCGGGTCCTTGAGGACCTTTTTGTCCCATTGACCCAGGCAAACCTGGAGCGCCATTTTGCCCTGGATTTCCTGATGCTCCTACTCCAGGTGCCCCTGTATGACCCTTTGGGCCTGGTGTGCCCATAGGACCTGGTGACCCATCCCTACCTGGCATTCCTGGCTTTCCAGGCTCTCCAGGAAATCCATTTGGTCCAGGTTTTCCAATTCCAGGCTGACCTGACTGACCAGGAGGCCCCTGAGGGCCCATTGGACCTCTGCCACCAGGTGCTCCTGGAATACCATGGCCAGGTTCTCCTTTCAGGCCTGGCTGTCCAGGAATTCCAGGATGACCCTTTAGGCCAGGTTCTCCACGTGGGCCCATTGCTCCTGGAAAACCGTGTGGTCCAGGCTTTCCAGGAGAAGAAATGCCAGCAGGTCCAGGGCTTCCAGGTGATCCTGGCGCTCCTCTTGCACCTTGACGTCCTACAGGCCCTAGATGTCCCTTCTCGCCTGAAATTCCAGGTGCGCCTGGTTTTCCAGGTGAACCTGGGCCTCCAGGTTTACCAGGTGAGGAGTAGCCTGCTGGACCAGGTGGTCCAGGTGGACCAGTTGGACCGGGGTGTCCAATGCCGCTCGTTCCAGGAATTCCTGCTTGACCAGGTGGGCCGGGGGGGCCAGGTTCACCTGGGGAACCTGGAATACCAGGTTCACCAGCAACAGCTAAAAATAAGATACAAATATAATATAATTTAGATGCAAACTTACATCACTTCATTTAAGAAAAAATCTGAAAATATTGAATTGCATGTAAGACTTTCCATAACATACACTTTTGGCTCAATAACAGATTTTAAGTCTCAGAAATTTGACAAGCTAAATTTTCCTGCTTGATGTTCTTAAGAAATTGTTCAGATTTTTTCATCTCACTGATGATTTAGTCACATATGTAATCTTAAAATAAATATTTTAGAATAAAGAAATATATTAAAGTTTATTTTAAAGAGCTCTAATATATTGTATGTACATTTTTGTGTGTGTTTGTACAGGTTTGACTACTTGTGAAGTCCAAAATGTCTTCACGATTTAAAAATACTCTCTCTAATATAGTAAAAACTTGAGTACATACTACTAAGCTGCACTCACTAGTTAAAAAGTCTTATCCTTCAGCCAAATCATGTTAATATTTTAATATCTAGTGTTTTGCACAGTTTGTGTGAGAGTTGTCTATGAGGCCGGGGGTCAAGTTAGGCATTTGAAAATGTCATTAACCTGACATAAAAAACGTGGAAGGAATGTGGAACGTTTCATAGTGGAAGTCTATGAGATTATATTAGTCTTCACTAATATAGTGAACAAATGCGTGTGTTATAATGTTTGTAATTTGTGATACCCTTTGGTTAATAACAGATTTTAAGTCTCAGAAATTTGACAAGCTAAATTTTCCTGCTTGATGTTCTTAAGAAATTGTTCAGATTTTTTCATCTCACTGATGATTTAGTCACATATGTAATCTTAAAATAAATATTTTAGAATAAAGAAAGATATTAAAGTTTATTTTAAAGAGCTCTAATATATTGTATGTACATTTTTGTGTGTGTTTGTACAGGTTTGACTACTTGTGAAGTCCAAAATGTCTTCACGATTTAAAAATACTCTCTCTAATATAGTAAAAACCTGTTGAGTACATACTACTAAGCTGCACTCACTAGTTAAAAAGTCTTATCCTTCAGCCAAATCATGTTAATATTTTAATATCTAGTGTTTTGCACAGTTTGTGTGAGAGTTGTCTATGAGGTCGGGGGTCAAGTTAGGCATTTGAAAATGTCATTAACCTGACATAAAAAACGTGGAAGGAATGTGGAACGTTTCATAGTGGAAGTCTATGAGATTATATTAGTCTTCACTAATATAGTGAACAAATGCGTGTGTTATAATGTTTGTAATTTGTGATACCCTTTGGTTAGAGAAGTGATAAGAGACACAGATGGTCAGTATCTGCTTGTACTTGAGCTAAACGTTAACTTTTAAATGTGTGCTATGTACGTCTATTATGATGATTATCATGATATAAAATCACCTGCACAAGTATATTTTGGCATAAGATATCCTGTTTAATAAATTTTATGTAGTCGTAGGTACTTCACAGTTGAGTTGGATTGTTTGACCACCACAGAAAACACAGGGAACAGCCCTTTTTTTCAATTTGAAAGAGTGCTTGTCCAGAAACTAATGGTATAATTTAACACCACAATGGCTTATTTTGGGCATGCCTGTTGTATAATGTGGTTACATCTGTTTTGGAGATTGAACTATTTTCTAAAGTAGTAGATTGCATATGCTGTGGTGTATACCAAATGAAGAGTAATTAACTAACCGTATTTGTAGTTATGCTCATTGCACTAGGACTTTATTTAAAGTTAATGTATTCTGGGCATTGCATGCAAATTAAAGAGGAGTTGGATATCTAAAGTGATGTTTGATATATTTGTTGACTGTAGATAGATCCATATTTGTGTAAATACAGATTATCTGAGTGGCTGAGATACCCTTGTGGCAAAGAGGCTAATCTAATTTTTCAACCTGATTAGTTATTTGCATATATGTATGCATGTATTTTTGGCAAGCCAAGCTCCCTTAGTGTAGCTTAGTGTCTTAATGTTGCACCTGCTGCTGTTATCCGATATAAATATTCTGAAGCATTCCACATGACAAAACATTACAGTGATGAAATACAGGAATTGCATATAAACCAAAAGTAAACTCACTGTGAGATTTTGTAGGATAAGACTGTTTCTTCACATGATAGTATCTTTCAGGGGTGGCCTCAGCCAGTACCACAAGGAGGAGAAGAATGCTTGTTACTCTGAGGTCCATTGTTTGAAGCTAAGCCTGTAAAGAAGTTATAAAATGAAAACAATAATGAATAAGTGACAAAGAAAGGACAAACGTCTCCCTCTCATAACACTTAAAATGGGCATTATTAACAAGAATGCAATTTCAGTATATCTGCATAAAATCAACATAAAAACCA